ATTCTGTGGAAAGTGTCAGCTGACCATAGTGGGAAAACACATTCTGTACTGTAGCTACTATAGTGACATTCACCCACATACCCAAATACACTAGAGTCATCAGGAAAGAGCAACCAGGGGGGGGGGCAAAAAATGGGCTTTGTGATTTTCAAAAAAGAAAACAATCAAAAAAATTCATGGAAAGAATTGAAAGAAGAATGAAAATGCCTTGAATTTTTTTAAATTTATTTTTTTTAAATAAAGTTATTATTTTTCAACCAGCTCTAATAAACTAGAACTTTTGCTTCAGGGATTAGACAGAATTTATTCCTGGGTCTTAGTCTCAGGAATTCACAATCCAGTCCTCTCTCAATTTAGAAAGATTCTGTACTTCCTCTCTCTTTCTCCTCTTTTTGCCATGCTTCTTAGCACATCCCAGTTGGAAGCCTCTCCCCACAGGACTGGCAGCATATGTTCCAGAATAAAACAAACCTGTTTTCTCAACAATTGATTATTATTAAGAAAAAATCAGCATGCATCTGTAACAGGGTAAGTGACAGTATAATAACTCACTACACATGAGAGACAACCTTTCCATTTACAGGAAAATGAGAAAGTGTTTGAAATCTGTATTAGCAAAATCTGCCATTCTGAGCATGCTGCCCTCTAGTATGTGTTTGTTCTTAGCAGAGCTTGAAGGCTTCAGGGAGCATTATCGGGGTCTTAAAAAAGCTCTACACTGAGCAAAAAATGTGGAGTGATACTTCACTTTTCTGGGAAAAATCTTTAATAGTTGTGGACATCATGTCTTTTTAAACTGTTAGTACTAAAGGAGAATCAAGAGGTGATTAACCAGTAGGAACCAGTGAGAATCTCAAAAATCTGACTGCAGGTTGTACACTACAGAACCTACTTGAAATGTGCACTGATCTATCTGTACTATGTGAAAATCAAGGTATGTATGATGAGTTGAAGACTACAGCAATTATTTATGAAAGAACACCAAAAAAATCTCTCTTTTCCTTATGACTGAGTCTTGTTTTCTCTTTATATCTTTGTGCTGTCTCCATGTATTTTATGCTCAATAGCATAACCAGCAGAAATTATCAATGGGCTTGATCCCATGCATATTGAAGTCAATGGAAAATTCCCATTGGTCTTAATGAAAACAGGAGCCAGGCAGACCCAACATCAGGTAATAATCACTATTAAAACTACCTTATTCATAGTATCGGGGATAGCCGTGTTAGTCTGTATCCACAAAAACAACAAGGAGTCTGGTGGCACCTTAAAGACTAACAGATTTATTTGGGCATAAGCTTTCATGGGTAAAAAACCCCACTTTTTCAGTTTTTACCCACGAAAGCTTATGCCCAAATAAATCTGTTAGTCTTTAAGGTGCCACCAGACTGCTTGTTGTTTTTGTGGATACAGACTAACACGGCTATCCCCGATACTATGAATAAAGAAGATTTTATAGAGAATTTTTTCTGCTGTTTGGTCTG